ATTCTCGTATAAAATATAAGATAGAAGTCTAGTCGAGTATAGATAATTTAGAAATCGTCTTCTAAGTCTTTCGAAAGCTAAGTAGATTTAATCCGATCTCTTCGATATCTTTATAGTTAATAGTTCGAAAAAGTCGGAAAGGTATCGAAGTTAATTTTCTAGTTCTATTACGTACTATTATACGTAAGTAACTAAAATCCTAGAAAGTATTATACTTCTTTAGCTAGTTAAGTCTAAGAATAATATTATATATATTCTAATTTAAGATACGAAGTATTATTTAAGCTCGAAAGTTATTAACGGTTAGACTCGTTATAATAGCTTAATTAAAGAGAGTCGTCTTACTATTAGTAAGATATATTTAGAGAGATAATCTTTAGATAATTTTATAGTTCTTATCTAGTTACTTAGCGACTCTTCTTAAGACGTAGAAGACGTTAGAGCCCGTATTAAGAAGGATTATAACGAGATAAGAGTTACTATACTATTCTAGCGATCCGCTAGCGATATTATATTTCTAGATATAGTTTAAGTTATAATTAAAGACTTCGATCGTATTAATAGCGACGTCTATTAGATTATCGAAAAAAGAGTTAGAGTTTAATAAGTTCGTATCGATAGTTTTTAAAGAGTCTATAACTTCTTTATCGTCGCTAGACGCTCTACTATCTAGTAACTCTTTTCTTTTCCTCGATAGTCTCGTTTTATAAACTTCTTCGGATTAGAATAATCTTTCTTTTAATAGCTAGTTTCTTTATAATCGAAGTAGAGACTATTATTTTAATACTTCTAACGAAAGCTACTTAAGAATCTATATTCGTTTCTATAACTATACGAGATTTTAGTCTTAGTAGACGAGAAGAATTCTAGTTAAAGATTATTAAGAGCTATCTCGATATTACTATTAGTATTTTTACGATCTAGTTAGATAATCTAAGAAGATTAAGAAGATTTTCTCGAGAAAAATCTTCTCGAGCGATCTCGAAGAGAGACTATTCTATATATATTAGCTTATATCTCTTTTTCGCTTTTATCTATAAAAAGAGCGTAATTTCTATAATTTTAGAGAAGTATAGTATCTAGAAGAAGTTCTATTCGGTTTCGAATAGTCGTTCTAAACTCTTATTTAAATATAAGTAGATATTTAACGTCGCTAGAGCGAGAGTCGAGATATAGTCGAAGAGTTTCGATCTTCTATCGAAACTCTTATACTATTTCTATTTATTTAAGAAAGTTAAACTCGTCTTAATATTACTTCTATATCCTAACGTCGCTAAACGCCGTCTAGAATACTTTCTTTTATATCTTTTAGTTAGTTAGAAGTAGATCGGTTCTAAGACTATATTTTATATCTTAGTATATAAGATTCTACTATACTAAGATATTATCTTTAAGGTAGAAAGTTACTAGAGCGATATATTTACGGCCTATTAAAGGATATTTATTAACGACTTTCTTTACGTCTAATTACCTTTCGATATAGATTAGCTAGACTTATATCGCGTCGTTATTTCGATAATCCTTATATTTTAGAAGTTTTTCGAGCTTTATCTCGCTAATATCTTAGAATAAATCTAACGATAAATACTACTATCTAAATAAGAGTCTAGATATATTCGTTTAGTTTATAGATAAGAGGGTAATTCTCGATAGACCGTCCGTAGATATTAAAGCGAAGATTTTAGAAGTTCTATAGTATCGTAGATAGTTAGCGAAGACCGCTATAGTTCTTTCTAGATTTCTAAGATAATTCTCTTCTAGAAGTTTATATATTCTCTATAGATTAGCTTCTTCTATAGAGATATCGATTTCTAATACTACTATTACTAGAGTTAAAAAAGTATTTATATAATATTTAGTATAGAAGAGCTTTCGAGTATAATTTATAAAATACGAGTAAAAAACGAGTAGAAGATAATATACGATAGAAGAAAGATAAGTAATCTTAAAAAGAATATATTCTTTATAGAAACTTCTATCTCGTTTAGCGAGAGCGCTTTATAACTAGCTCTCGATATTTAAAGCCGTCCCTAGTTAAATAGTATTCTATTCTTTAAGAGATCTTATTATACGTTTTTCTTTAATCGATCTATTATTTTCTATCGTCTACGATAGTATAAGTAGATCTAGATAGATCTAGATAATTATCTAGTTTCTACTAGTATAGTTTAGACGAGATCCTAATAAAGAGTTCGTTCTAGTAGTAATATTTCTTTCTCTATCGATATATTAAGCTCTTCGATAATATTGTCGTTCGTAGTATTTAGGTTAATAGAACGTAATCGAGAATATTAAAATAGCCGTTACTATTATATCTTAGTTATATCGCTAGTTATCGTTTATAGCTAAGAGTATCTAAGGGTAGCGAAACTAAAATTTTTAGAGAAGAAAGTTACTACTTACTACTATAATTTACCTTTCTCGATAAGAAATTTTTATCGCTATTTATTATTCTAAGAGTATAATTCTCGTAAGTCTTCGCTATAGAACTAGAAGAGATTCGTCGGACGTAAAAGATAGACTTTAAGCTAGAAGATTTTCTTATTAGTTAGTTTCGCTATATATCGAGACGGTTTCGTTTATCTTTAATCGGCTTCGTATAGAAGAATATCGGTCTTCTCGGCGATCGACTACGCTTCTCTTCTTCTCGAGAGAGCGTAGGAGTTCTTACGGACTCTAGTTTAAGATAGAGAACTATCTCGTCGTCGCTACTAAATATAATTTTACGGAGGACTTGTCTGTCACGGACAGGTCCACGGCCGCTAGAGTAGAGGTGTACTCTAAAAAGACTTGAATTCCAAGCACTTGTGCTTGGGAATTCTGGACCTGTAATTGATATCCTACTATTCCTAGTCACGTGTTCAGTTCGTGACAATGTCCTATTTTAACGGGGCCTAGGGCCTCGTTAGACTATATACTTTCTAGGGGTTGTACGATAGCGTACGATACTAGCCGAGACCGAAAGACGGGTCCCGACGTCTTTATAATGCTTGGCACGTAGGGTGCCCATTTTGTCACACTACCTTCCCCGTCCGGGGAGTGAGTGATGGGTGTTCGGTGGGAGCTGAGCCTAAGGCACCTGGTAGCCTGAGACTGCCCAGCCCGAGGGCCAAATGATAAGAGATAAACGCCGAGAATGCACTCACCATCAGTTGGATTCATCTGCCGCATGATGCCCTCTACTTCCAGGTTGTGTCACCGCTCTCACAGGGCGCTTGACAACGCGGTGATGAGACACCACCCGTGGCCTGCATGCGCGAAGAACCTGTCCGGCACTCTCTCCAATGTCATCCAGTAAGCGACGGGCAGTGGCTTGTCAGAGGTGCCACCACCGGAAGGTGAAATGTTCCAAAGGTCAGTCCTGGTACACTGGCATATCTTGACTCGGCCGCTGGGCTAACCGGTCGGCCCAAGAAACGCCTTGTCGGACCTGCTCTACTGCAGGGGCACATTGTGTCTACCCCGTTCGCGACAGGAACATCTTTGTGTCGGAAAACTACGTGACTGGTCTGCAGGCCCAAATTGTCGCTGGCAGCAACACCCCGGGCCAGAACCACACCCAGAACCAGCACAGTCAACAGACTTGGACCCCCAATCCTTCGCTGGGCTTGCACAAGAGCCCTTTCAATGGGCCGTCCACACGACGACCGGCCCTACCTGTCCTGCGGGATGCCACGGCCGAAGCCTTTGTATCGGGCTTGAAGGGACTCGGAGGCAGCAGCAACGCAACGGGTACTCCCCTTCCCGCAGCTGCCCTGAACGACACATTCACAGTTGCGAGGTCGGACGACCGCAACCCGAACTCGCAGCTTGACTATGTCCCATTGGATTTTGACACGTCTAGTACAGAATCTCAACCCTTGAACAACTGTCCGTGCACAAGGCTGACCTCCGGTAGCATCTCGGATAACCATCAAGCTTCCCCCCTACCCCTACGCTGTCCAGTTGGTGAATCAGTTCGAAACTTTTCTAGGATATGAATACCACTGGTACATGTGCAATTCCTTCCACGCCGGTCTGGAAATGACCTACCGATCACCCCACGCGGTAGGGTCTCGAGATCGCATCTGGCTGTGCAAACTGTTGACAGTATTTGCCCTGGGAGAGTCGTACAATAGCTTCAACGCTCCCTCGATCGAGTTAGTCGATGATGCACGCCGTAACAACGAAGGCGAGCTTGAATTAGCGCGGATCGTCTCCCAGTCTCCTCCGGGCGTTGCCTTTTTCGAGCAAGCCCTCGTCCTGTTCAAGATACCGTCCGAAGAACCTACCGTGGCGCATGTAGAAGCTCTCAACTTGATTGTGAGTCCCCTCTCGAATGGAGGTGCTTGCCCCGCTGTGCTGAACGGGCATATTTGTTGTTACAGGCTTTCTACTGCTACTCGCTCAATCGACGCAAAACGGCTTACATGTACAGCGGGCTGGCCGTGAGAATTGCGACCTGTCTCCTGCTCCATAAACCCGCGGTGGGAATGACGGCTTCCACGGCAGAACACCACAAACGAGTCTGGTGGACCACATTCCAGTTGGACGCCATGACAGCACCCGAAGTCGGACTAAAGCCCACTCTTCGGCTCGACGATGTCGAGCTGGCTCTTCCGGCCGACGAGACCTTGACGCGACAGGACCGATCAGATTTCAATGATGCTCAGATCCTGGCGGCACACCTGAAATTGTGTGGTATCCGCAGCGATATCGCCGAGGTCGCGGGTCGATTGCAGGAAGATGACTTCGCTGACTATCAACGCGCAGTCCAAGTGCTGCTGTCGCGGCTCCAGCAGTGGAAAACCGAGCTTCCGGTCCATTATCGCTTCGAATTCGACAGTGGACTACCGACGGCTATGCTTGCGTTGCCGTCGATGAGGTCATTGGCCTCTGTCTACCTGAGGTATCACCAGGTTTGTCTGCATTCAAAGGGTAAAGCACGTTTGAGCTTACCAGCATGCCAGGGTTACATCATTCTGATGCGGCCGGTGTTCTTCAAACTGCTGGCAATTGCGCTAGGCAAAAATGATGACGAGGCGTCGGTGGACAGCCTGATCGAACTCAGCAGTCGGTGTCTCGAAGCTGCCAAATCCAATATGCGCATCGTCATGGGTCTTTCCCACACCGATAGAATCGGTAAGTCTTGTTCATTCCTTCCTCCCTTGCCACGTCAGTCCTGCGCTCAGGCTGATACTTCTTGACTCCGGGCTTGAACAGCCAAATACGGCTTCTGGGAATCCCTGCACATATTTTCGAGCGTCCACATATTTTCTCTGGCCCAGCTTGCCGACACTTTTCGACCGATGAGTCTCTCCCCCGCTAGCGACGATTCGACGCTGTATCAATTTGCCAAAGACCTCCTCATCTCCATGGCGAACCACGGCAATATCGCAGCCAAGGGTCACATCAAATTGATTGACGAGACCGAACGCCTGTTGGCGGACGTCACGTCCCGTCGTCAACTCAATGCCGCGGCCATGGTTGACTTGGAACAGGACATCTTTCAGTGGATTGAACTGCTCGACGACGTGCACTACGTTCAGCCCACGTGGTCAAGCTTTGAAACGTGAGAGCGCTGGCTCGGCCGGTGTTGGGGCTTTACTCTTAGGGCCAGGACGTTAACAAAGCAAGAGGGCTTCGTCCAGTCTGGTCAAGTCTAGCCCCTAACAGCATCAAGGTGCCCTCCGACGATTCAGACAAAGCGAGACTCATCTGGGAACCGCTCGATACTCCGCTCCCTTGCGATCGGAACATCGTCTTTGGCAACGTTTCTGTTACTTTTTGCATAGTGAGTACTTGAAAAGCAAGTGATAGGTTGAACGATGAGCGAACCGAAGAAAGGTCTATTGGATCTCTTGATGAACGAGATTATGATTGGTAGACGGATTCAGTGGCTTCGACCTAGCAGTACCTAGGTACAGATGGCCTGATGACCACTTTGGCATATCCAACAACGACATTACAGTCGGAGGCTGTAACCCTTGGAGCTAAGTGCTACTCTCTTCTCACCAGATCCTTGGACTTCGATCATGCTCTGAAGCTCATCCTTTCCTGAGGCTGGACTGTTTTGGACACCGCCACTGAATCCCTCCCGGCCATTTCGGCTCCTTTGTGCAATTGTCACCGTCCATCACCATCGCATCAACCCATCTACCTATGATTTATAAGTATACTTATAAATCCTCTATTCTAGAAAAGTCTAGATCCTCTCTTCCTATATAGACATACCTAGGTACCTACATGGTACACCACCGATATCAAGTCTCCCTGCGGATTACTCACCACCACATGTACAGTAGAGATCAAGCGCATCGACCGCACTGCAGCAATCTCGTAGAGGCTGTCATGATACGCGACGACGATCTAATGACCCCAGGTGCAATAACAACTTGTACTAGTGGTCATTATCATTACCGGTGCTGTTGTATTGGACTCGGAAGCAACCGAGCCCCAACTTGAAGGGTTCGCTAGAAGTTGGTTCGGAAGATGCCGAGTCTGATCGGTCCCAGAGCCACAGACCAAGGCCAATAATCTATTTGAGCGCCAACGGTCAAATTGATTCCAAAGGTTTCTGTTAATAATACCTACTAGTAGGTGATCGCTGCAGGGACATCTGTCAGGGCAATCAAAGTCTCGATTCGTGCATTTGCATCTTTGAAATCGATACGGTTAAGACTATGCGATACTCCTGTGTCAACGGCATGGTCAAGGTATCCGGTGTGGTTCCCATCCTCGCCCGCAGCCAGAACGTCCCGTAATTTACCTACATATTCAGCCTTGTTTCAGACACCATTCGGCGCCCGCACGCCCCCGAGTTATGCTGAACAGGTGCCAATGGCTCGCCATCATTTCAAAGCGATAAAGATGCCGACGAATTTCAAAACCACGTTGACCACCAATGCAAGGGTCGCTAATACAACGAATATCTGCCCAATTTCCATCCAGTTGTTGAGGGTCATTTCCGTCTCAATGTAGCCGCCCTTGGAAATGCCCCTGGACGCATTGGCGGCCTCCTCGTCGCCTGGAAAGTATCCCGTTTCGTACCATCTCTCCAAGAGATCGTCCTTCTCGCGCCAGCGTTCCAACAGCCACTTCTCGAATTCTTTCGCATCGTTCAGGGGAATCGACGCCATGGCAAACCGCCGCCAATGCATGTTGACGCACTTTGGCGGTCGGCCTTGTAGGTAGGTTGATCGGATGGTGAAATATTCGGGCGCAAAGCCACCTTTTCTGTAATCGTCGTGTCAGTATGCCTCGGCCTTGTCCGGTATACGTCTCTACAGCGACACTGCAAACTTACGGGGTTCCTTCATAAGCAATCGTACAATCGTACACCCAGTCGACCGTGCCTTGCAATTGTTGCAGACAGAAAAACAAACCAGTACTGCGGGGCAGAAGCACATGCCTGGTGTCAGGAATGCCTTGCTTTTCCGCCCATCTCGAGCTGACTTTCTTCGTATTCCGCGACAGATTCGTACCTTCGGGAAAGATCAACAACCACATAGGGTCCAACCCCGCCGAGCCGGACATTGGACCACTGTGTCGCGTTTTTAACTTTTCCAGTCGATGTTGAAGCCGGGGTTTGTCCGCAGCCCATTTGCGGGCCATGAAAATGAAGCCGTAGAACATCATGCCAGGACCTAGAATCGGAACATACTTCAAGGACTCTTTCAGAATGATAAAGATGTGCCCATGCATCCTGCTCGTGTAGGCGATCCACCACAGATACAGCCATTCGGTATAGACCTGATGGTTCGCAATGTAGACGAGTCGTTCGGGGAATGTCGTCTCCAGCGTGCCGGCCGTAGTCTTGCGGAATTGTCCTCGCAGATCCTTGTCCCAACTGACCCGCACTTTTGTAGGCGCAAACCATCTTGTTCCTGCAATTCCTAGAATTCCGAACGATTGCTTCGTCAACGCCATGTATGCGTAGTAGTAATCCTTGTTCCACCAGTACAAAGGCGCCCCGAGAAACTGGGTGACATTGATGCACACCGCACCGCAGTTGAACCAGTCCAGGAGAAGCAGCGCACGCAGTATTTGGTTCCAGGTCCCATATTTGATTTCGCCCGCAGGATGTTCGCTCGTGGGAGGCCCTCCATCGCCTAAAGCTGGGGCGGTGTCCGAGGGATATGTGGTATCAGGAGCACGTCTTCGCAAGGTATCATCGGCCGCCATGGTTTGAAGGTGGGGAGATGTCGTAACCAACTGTACTCTACTGCTTGATTACTGTAAAGATTCGCTGAGCACTGAAAGAAGAAAGGGAAACTCGGACGATGGCACTGTCGGTGCCATTTATTTGACAGTCGGTCAAGACAGGACAAAGGACGGAAACGGCGGGATGAATCGCAGCAACGCCAGTGAATAATGGGGATATGAGGGATGCCGAGTGAAGGATGTCAGGGAACCGTAACGGATTCAAGATGGAAAGAGTGAAAGTGTAGGATGAACAATCCTATTATGAGGCGTCAGTACATCAATTGTCTATCTCAAGTTGATCTGCTCCGGCCGCGGGTGCCTGACGTTCGTGTCAAGCCGATGCCAGTGCATAGCAAATACGTAGCACAACTTCACCGGAAACTGCTAATGAGAGAGACGGATGTAAGCGGCAGCCGAGGGTCAGCATAGTATCACTAGTACACCACTAGTCTGGTATTAGCACTTCCTACAGTTAAGCTTAACTGGCTAGTCTGATTCCAAACATATCCGAGCTTCGCTGACTAAGCATGTTTCCACTCTCAGAGTCACGTGTCGGTTTTCCTCTTTCGAGGATTGTTGGTGATGCGTCTCTGCTGGCCATCCATGTCTATCTCATGCACTCCATCATCCACCTAGATCTTGGATCCCTGAGTTAGATCGTTTGTGTTCGCTTGGAGTTTGGGCTTGTGTTAATTGCTTGCTTGTGGATGTGCCTGCTCAGAGACCTCTCCACCATCCTCAGATGCTCATGGCAAAGTCCAACCAGCCAGCAGTTCTGCGCTTTATACCCATCTTCCTGACATAAAAGAGCATTCTCATCATGGCAGCACCTTCATCCTTCAGATGGATCATACGCCACTCATGCACAAGGTCACCTCCATTCCACCCCAGGATTATCAGCCAGTCTGTCCGGCGTTGGAGGAATGAAGCTGGGATTGCCTGGAATCCAGCCTCGGCCGTCCATGGACGCGGGCACCCCTTTTCGTCGACCAGCACACTCTCGAAACGGCAATCATTAGACATCTTGCCAAACCGCAGAGCCTTCCGTCTCAAAGACACCCCTGCTCATGAACTGCTTTGTCTTGAATGGTCTCAGCCTCCATGTAACCTCCTCCTTATCAAAAAGGAATATTCCGACGAAGCCACCGAGGCCCTCATAGAGTTCAGCAGGCATGTCAAGGCCACTTACCCTGGTGTGAATATACTTCTGGAACCGAAAGTCTCGGCTGAGTTAGGCCATGTGGTACCAGGAGATCACTTCAGCCCTGAAGATGCTTCACTAGCTTCAAGGCAAAAGCTTCAAGACAAGGTCGACCTTGTCGTGACCTTTGGCGGCGATGGCACCATCCTCCACGCCTCTTCCATGTTTGCAACATCTCCAAAGGTTCCTCCGATTCTTTCCTTCAGCATGGGTACTCTGGGTTTCCTGAGCGAATGGAAATTTTCAGAATACAAGCGGGCCTTCCGAGAAGTATACATGTCTGGTGCTTCTTCTGAAAGACACGCTGTCATTCAGAATGCTTCTCCGAGCGAACAAGGCTCCATAACGGACTGTACCGGCTGGTCATCTATCCGTGGCATGTCCATGGGCCCGGCACGAGGTTCAAGAGTCCTCGTTCGGCAGAGATTAAAGGTTGGTCTCTTTGATGCCGCTGGCAAGCGATTGGGTAATGGTGATCTCTTGCATGACTTACATGCAATGAACGAAATGATTTTGCACAGAGGTCAAGATCCGCACCTCGCCATTGTCGATGTTTTTGTAGGAGGTCGCTTTCTCACCGAGGCCGTAGCAGACGGCATAATCATCTCCACACCTACCGGAAGTACGGCTTACAGCCTCAGCAGTGGCGGGAGTATTATACACCCACTCGTGCCATCTTTGCTTCTTACACCAATTTGTCCTAGAAGTCTGAGTTTCCGCCCTTTGGTGCTGCCAGCAACCACTCCTCTCACACTAAAATTGAGCGAGAAGAATCGAGGTCGAGAAGTCGAATTCAGCATCGACGGCAAAAGACATACCGATGGCATTGGTGTTGGCACCGAAGTCCGAGTCTCCGGTGAAGATATCAGGAATGGCCCAGAAGGGTTTGTCGGCGGCATTCCGTGCATAATGAGAAGAACAACTGCAGGTACCGAAGGGGATGATGGTTGGGTAGGTGGACTAAACGGGCTGCTGAAGTTCAATTATCCCTTTGGCGAGGAGAGCTGAGTTGGGCATGTTCGACTTCGATACGCAACCCGCCTCTGCCGGGTGTCTCGAAGAATGTCGCTTCCGACGTGCCCTTTGTTCAACCGTCCTTGTCCACAAAGGAACAGCGTCTGAAACTTTTGCATCAGAACATGCTATTGCTTGAACGGCCAGATGTCTCGGAGAGCTGCTAGCAGCCGAGGAACAGAAGGACTGTCAGTCTCAAACACTGAGTGGACGCTATAGCGTCGACATTTGAGGGCCCGTTCTGGCTGGGAATCTGGAAGCTGGACTCTCGAAGTATTTAAGAGACGTGTTTGACGCCGGATTGGAACACCTGCTTCCTACTATTCTGGTTCCAAGCTTCTCCCGGTGCTCTGTGAACGACGGGCTCCTCCCCTTTCTGGCGTCATAAATTTATGAGCTCTCCGTGGGTCATGAGATGGCAGCTCCTATGTGACCCCGGTCAGCAAGCGTATCGAAGGGTGGAGACATCAACGAATGGCATGTTATGATCGAGCAGGAGTTGCGTCCTGCATTGCTGCCGGCAGTTGAAGTTTGAATGCCTACAATGCGACTGATGAATGCAGCGTTTCGCATGAATCGAGCTGTGGACAAACATCAAGGCAGTGCCTTGTTGAATGAGGATGCAGGGGATTCAGCGATAGCGGCGGTGTCACTTAACCAAGGTGGAGGCATCTTCTGAAGCCTTAAGGTGCCATGGGTTATCGCAGTCTCACTTGCAACTGAGAGATTGCATGCCTATGCAGCGTTGCGACTCTTTACCATTGCGACGGAATTCACTGCCGCAGGAAGTCAGACATGCAAAGATAAGACTTCTTTTTCTGTTCCTTGCGAAACAACTACAAACCACCACCCCGAAGCCACTGACTGTCTTCATCAACCGCTTCACTTAACGCTCACCACCTCTTCGCTTCCTTAAACTACTTAAAGGGTTTCTACAGTGCGCGGAGCTTGCCTTGTCCTTAGCAGCATTAATCCCTTGAAGTCTTTTCTCTTGAGCACAGCGACTAAAAGCAAAGTCCCATTCACTCATACGTCAGCACCCATCTTATTCTTAAAGCCTGCGACGAAAAGCAAAGTCCGACTCACTTATGCGTCAGAACCGATCTTCCTCTTTCGCACTCCTACAGTCGCGTGTCCTTTCGAGCTAAGTTTCTATACTCATAACGTCGACACCGCATCTCCTCTCTATCAGCGCGTGCAACTCCACGCTCTCGACGACGATCATCCTGTCTAGACCTCCTTCTTACTCCTCCAAAGGAAAAAATATAAAAACAAACATGGCATTGCAGCGCGCACATATCCAACTTGCCAAGCACCTTGATATCAACGCTCCTGGCACTGTGCAAGGCCCACCCTCGTCGCAGTCACATCATCTCCTCAACTTGTCGTCACAGCAGAGCTTCCCCACTTACGCTCTAGGCTATGATCCTCTTGATGATGTCGAAGAGATGCAACAGCCGATACCTGCACGGCCCGCCAACGGTCAAGGCACAGAACATCCTTTTGACATGCTCTCAGAGACCAATCTACACCCAATCCTCTTCCGCATCGAGCCTGGCCCAGACCCCTTCCAGGGAGTGCCAGTACCGCTTTTGGTCGATCAGCAAACAGGCCTGATAGAGCACGGTAACAGCGGGCAACCGCTTCGTTACTTCTCCCACCTGCCTCGATGGGTAGCAACAGATGTGGCAGGCATGATCCTTGAGCTGTGGATCCGGCTCGATAGCCGGGTTCAGATGTCCGACATTCTCGACCGGGTGAACGTCAATGGCAAGATGCCGCGGCCAAATACTTTGAATATGAGGAGAATCCGGTTCAGAGAGATAATCAACGTGCCAGCGATGTACCCAGGGCGGTCGATGCCAACTGCGAACGAGGTGCAACTCATTGGCAACTTGACGCGGGAACAGATCCTGTTGAATACCTCCATGGCTGTAGATTTGCAAGGAAACCGCCTGCTACGTCCGTGCCTGGTCAACAACAAGACGGTCGCAGGCTATGTTGACAGCGGTCTATCCATCGACTTTTTCATTGCAGACTTTGGCCTACCGATTCCGATCCCGGGCAGACGCACCATTGTCACATTGGAGCTTCGCAAGAGACTACAACAACTTGCGCGGCGACGGGGCCTGGGCAACCGACCGGCCGATTACAACAAGCTGTCGAAGGATCTGTTGCCCTCCTGGTGGAATAAGTCTGTTGCTGTAACGCCAATGCCGGACCTTGATGGCAAGAGCCATGACGAGTTTGTTGCCGACTTGCTGGACCGTTTGGCGCCCACGACAACCAGAAACCGAGTGCGAAGACCAGGAATGATGTCTTCTGCCTCTCCTGCCGGACCTGCTGCCCCTGCTTCTGCTCCTGTCAGTGCTACGACCATCCCCGTGGCTCGGTCGGCCCTTCCAGCACCACCACTGCCAAGTCACGCTGGTGCAGCCACGCAATCTACCAGCAGTCAACTTCCTCCTTCGACCACTCCCTCAGCTCTGCGCAATGCTGCCGCCTTTTTCCCTCGTCCCAGCCAAACCGGTGCCATGGGAGTTACTACAAATAGTAACTTCATCGACCCGCGCCTCTTGGTTTCATTGCCAACGAGGACGAAGCTGACAGGTGCACCCTTGGCCGGAGTGGGCCAGTTCCAAGTGGCCACGCCTACGGGCACCTCCTATTACGTGGAGGCGGCCACTCAGGGAGCTGCAGCCCAGGTCGCTCGGCCTGGTATTGACCAGGGCGACCGCTCCGACCAAGGTGCTGGGGGCTTGCGAGAGGAAGAAGAGCGAGCGGCGTGGATCCTGAGTGAATATATCGCAAGTGGTCAGTTTGAAGAGGGCGCCGGCGCTGGACATGACGATACGGAAGAAGACCAGGGCGCCGACAACGACAACGACAACGACAACGACAATAACGCAGAGTTGGAGGACGAGTAGTTAGAGGACTTGCTGATGGTGTGGGGTCTCTGATGCAGACTTTTTTGGGGAGAGACCGGTAAATAGACGAGATTGCAACTTGCTACCAATGCATGACTTTGGTGTGAAGGAAGGAAAAGTTAACTTGATTCGAGACAAAAGTCATTGACTTGGGTTGGACTTGAATTGAATAGAGACGAAAAGAAGATGCAAGATTGAAAGATGCTCTGGCCGGCTCACTTGGGAATTCGTGCTACACCCTTCACGCTTGACACGGTTAATAACACCACATCAACATCTGTGTATTGAAAGAGTCGTCTCGTTCGTGTACATGATATCATAAAGTGTACCTTGGTTCCATCTCTCGTCCACGTAGAGACTTACACAGGGAATACTGGCGCATGCAGAGTCGAATGCAATTGCCACATACCCACACTCGAGCAAGCTTCACCGCAAGGAAAGTAAATCTACAGTGAGTGACTTGCAAGTTGCATCGAAGAATGCGCGTCACTACATTATCAACCACACGAGCGACTGGAGCGACACAGTCATACACAAATAGTGATGCTTGGCTGGTTCTAATATGGCATGAAGCAGCCAAGTTGACATTCAATAATGCAAGAAGTGTGAAAAACCCTCCCCTTGATCCATGGTGTAACATTCGCATTGGCCCTCCCAGCTCGACTGACCCCCTGAACGACCTCAGCCTCGTCACATCACGTGCATGTCCTAGCCAAAGACCGGCAGCACTCCTTGGCTACCGCCATAGTTCAAGTTACTATGTACATACTGTACAGTACTTAGCTAATAATACTCCCTTTTCTTTATCCGTGTTGCCCACTTCTACCCTGGATTCTGTCTTCTTCTGTCGCTCACCTCGTCCATCCAATCTATATATAGTGCACCTCTCCACAACGAGTTAGAGCACACTCCTATGGTCGCGGTGAACTGAATTTCGCACCACTCAAAGCTAGGTACTTGTCTTTTTGTTCGTGATTCTGTGAACTTTTTCACCCTGCCTTTCCCTGTCTTTCCCGGCCTGGCTCAGGTGATTTCGTTTGTCTGATTCTTTCCTTTCTGTGAACCCTCGAGGCTCTGTACTGCCTGTGCACACTTGCAATACTGCTGAAGCAAGGGGATGAAGGACTATCCCCTGATGAAGCGTGAGAAAGGCGACACGCGATTCAGAAGGTGCAACACCATTTCTGGTTGTCCGTCACTAGTGACTGATTACCAGCAGGCAGTCCCAGCTCCCATGCCACGCAGTTTCAGGGTCAACAAGGGCACAAAAAGAAAGAAAGAAAGAAAGCCTTGAAATACCAACAGAACATAAAGCTCTTCCTCAGGGTTGTTGGGTGGTCAATCTCCAGACGGCCTGGTACTGATTTTCTCTGATATTCCCATCTCCATTCCCATTCCCTTCCTGTTCCCCTTTCCTTTACCTCTGGATATGGCGGTTGCAATAGTCCATTTTGATGTCCACCGTCATGTCGATCTTTACGCGTGTCTTCATGTCGATATTAACCCATACTCCCGCCTCTCTCTGTCTTTCGGTTTGCTTCCTCTCGCTCCATATCCCGCGCCCATCTCCCTTCTGTCCCGACTGCAACAATGAACTCTCTGCTCTATCTCCCACGCGGCTTTCCCACTGTGATCCATCGCATGCGTTATGCCCCAATCCTACTCACTAACCATCCCATTCTCTCTCGGCACACTCTAACGATGGCTTCTGACTGGCTCTGGTCCTTGCTATTCCCTATCTGTCTATTTCTCTCCAAGACCACACGAATAAACAAATGCCTTTTTATACCCTTGATTCTTCTGCCTGCACTTGACTTCCCTTTCTTTCTTCCACACCACAACCGAAACTTCAAGCTCAAACAAAAGCCCCAAGCCACTCTTGGACTGCCTTTGTTTCATCATTGGTCATCGAGTTCCTTTTCGTCTTCGTCCTGCACTTCCAGTTCGACTTCCCGTTCGAGTTCGAGCCCGCATTCGACTTCGAATGGGACTTCGACCTCGAAACGGCTGCATGCTTCTCCCCGTCATCTTCGACCTCGTAGCGGCGCTCTTCTTTTTGCATCGCTTTATCTGCGACTCCCTCTTTTCTGAGGCCAGATCAGGCACTGCCGAGCCCAAGGAGGAGGTCAAGCTTGTTGTCGTTTCCAACAGCACGACTCTGTAGAGATCGAGACGGCACTGGTAAGCTCAATCAACACACAGCCCTTTCCCTGACCGCATGCGAAATCCAAACGCAGTTATCAGCTAACAGCACCTTATTATCAGATAGATCGAAGACCTGTGCGCCTTTCTCCTCTCCAGTCAGACCCCATTGTCCTGTCTCGCCTCGCTTGGCTCCTCAACAAGCTCTCCTGGGTTTCTGTTCCCATCCACCACGCCGTGTTGTTTCTTGCACAGGTTGTTGCTGCTTGAGTCTTGGTGTCTGTCTGCTGCCTTCTCGTCGAATCGCAGATCCAAGATCAAGATCATAACTGTTACACCATACCATACAATACACACATCGCATCGTGTCGAGGACTGCTTGCTTGACTGCTTGCGGTTGTGTCCTGTCCTCTTCTGTATTCGAACACCCAACGAGTCTTCGATCCAGTCACTATCACCTTCACCACCATCATGTCGAGCAGAAATCCAGCACAAGGCAGACCGTCCAACATGACGGCACGAGCCCACCAGTCAATCCAAGGTGGTAAGTCCCTTTCTCACATACCGATTCACCCTCTCTTTCAGTCAAGCACGGACACATTCACCCAGACGTCCTCCATCTCCATCTTCTGTGTTTCCCTTTCCTTTCCTCTTGTTATTCTGTCATCTTCCCATGCTCAACACTTCATTACACCTAACACGTTCGGTGCAATCAACTGACTCCTTCTCAGCATCTGTCTCTCCACCATTGTCCCTTGGGCGTCAACCTGCCTCACTGCCAGCACCAACCGCATCCGCATCCGCCGCCCTTCCAACCCCATCTCAGTCAACTGGATATTCGACCAACGAATTCGAGTCCGACGAAGACCTCGGCGACGACTACGACTATGAAAGTGAATTCGTGCCAATTGCCGATGAAGAGGACGCCACTGCTGCCCCGACGGCCACCAATACCACCACCACCACCAACTCTTCTTCGTCTTCGTCATCGTCCTCCTCCTGCCGCCCGAAATCCACCGACGCCGACAACAACGACGACAGTGACGATCATAACAACAATAACGCCCCCAGACTTCGCAATAACAGCAACTACCGCCGCTCTGCCATTGACGCTGACATCAACAATGTTGTCGACGAGTTTGCCGGCAACGACGAAAAGGCCAAACAGTTCCTGTGGGATGAGGACATGAAGAACCTCAATGACCCGAATATGTCTGACGAAGAGAGAGCGATGAGACACGAAGCTGCTGTTCTGATTGCTTTGCCGCCCAAGCGCAAGCTTTTCATGCAGGAAACTCGAGAAGAACGTAAGAGGCTGCGACTGGCGAATCTGCGTGAGGGCCAGGAGCGCATGAAGATGTTGGATGCTCTTGGTGAGATCAAGAAGAGACGTGCCGAGGAGAGAGAGCAGGCAGAACAGGCTAGGAAGGATTGGTTGAGGATGCATGTTGAGAGGGAGTCGGCCAAATTGAAAGACGAAGACGAAGAAGACGAGGAAAACGAAAAAGAAGATGATGCCGAGGAGACGGGCGAAGAAGACGAAGCAGGACAGCAACAAGATGGTGATGAAGATGAAGAAGCTGACGAAGACGAAGAAATCGATTCAGACGATTCAGATGATGAAGACTATGAGGACGACGGAGACGAGGATGATGAGTGGTAAACAACCAACGACCACACCAGAAGAACGGAAGAAGACGTGCAACTTGTTTCTTCTTGCTTTTGCATGGCATGTCATATCCATGATGAGATTGTTGGTCGTCTCATTCGGCATCGCACCAGCAAGACCGAGCCGAGCAGTTGAAGTGGTTTCAGGAAATCAATGCAGGGAACGAACCTGGATGCGTTGGAGACTGCAATACTGGACAAGGTCTGGTTGGTTCTGTGTGTATTAGTGCGTTGTGTATTTTTCATTTCAGTCCTTGGACACACACACACAGTGCAGAAAGAAGAGAATCTGCTGACTGTGTCAAACACCACCCTCTAAGTCTCTCAACTCAGAGCAGAGCAGCAATGCAAGATACTTGATGTAATTCCCATGCCATGGTATGCCATGGGATACCGACCTCGCCATCAGTTGGTAGAATAACTTAGTAACCTCTGCGTTCGAAACCACTGCCCTTGTTCATCTTTTCAACATTCCTTCTTGCTTAATTGACCTTCAAAACATTCTCGTTCGCCGGGATATTCTGCTCAGCGTTTGAGTTCGCTCGATGCGCACCTTCAGACGTGTCGCCGTCGCTGTTCAAACTCGTCTCAACTTGAACACCAGCTCTCAGCGTCTGCAGCACAACGCAGTACCGCTCACTCAACTCGATAAGTTTATCCAATTTTGACTTGTCTTCGTCATTATCCACCTCGATACGGACAAACAATCTGATCTTCTTGAACCCGACCGGCACGGCATTACCGTCGGCATCCTTGATTCCCATTGTCCCCCTGAAATCGAGATCACCTTCGACCTTGACAGAGCCGTCTTTGATGGCAATGCCCATGCTCGTGGCGACCGCGCGCACCGTGACTCCAAAACAGGCCACCAGACTCTCAAGCAGCATGTCGCCTGAGCACAGTTCACCTGTTGCATCGAACCCTTCGCCCCCGGCGGCTTTGTGCAGTCCCGCCACTTTGCGGGCCGCCGTGCCTGCGGACAAGGAACATGTGAGGCTGGTCGAGGTGGGATCGAGGGTGCCGGACGAGGAGAGCGTCACGAGTGCAGAGGATGGGTCGGAGCGGTATTTGTCCTTGAGGGGCTTCTGTTTGGCCCGGAGGGTGTTGGCGGCGATGGTTGCTGGGTCTGAAGACATTGTGAAGAGATGGTGGACAGTGTATACTGGATATCTAGATAGGTTGGTGTAGGTATGTGAGAACCCGGCAGCACAGTTCAGTTGAGACGGAGGTATTGAGGCAGTTGCACAGAACTGTAGCCGACCCGGCGGTGGTGGTGGATTAGGGAGAGGGTGAGAGAATGGTGTCTCTTTGTGCCAGATGGGAGATGGGAATGGGAACGGACGAAGAGGTCTGGTCTAGTCTTCCACGCAGCTGATTATTGGAAAGAGTGATAATCTCAGAGGCAGTGTTTCAATTCAGTTCCTTCTCTCTCTCTCTCCTTCCCCCTGTCAATGGCACTTGTCTGCGGGAACATGTTTCGATTTTTGTTGTGTTGTCTTTTACCCCTCATGCCGCACCCGGTTGCGGAGGAGCTGAGGGACCGCTCAAGTTTTGGACTTCACGATCCCTTCCATCGGCCCGTTATCGATACCCACCCACTGGCAACACCTTATTACCTAGAAGAGGTCGTAGCTGTTGCTGTACAAACTCCGCGTAGAACACTGGCACCTGGATCGATTGACCTTGTAACAGGAACAACACCTCCTACCCACCTCATCTTCAATCATTTCTTATTCCGGCCACGAAACAAGGCTTTGGCGAGAGCGAGCCTGAGAGAAACGTTGAATCATCCCCGGGCAGGGGCAGAGCCGCCAGTATCTTACGCTCCCGTCCATGCAGGCCGCCGAGGCGAGTCTGGTACCGCATACCGCACGCACCTCCATGCGACTGGCCCTTTTGCTTGCATCAGCTTGTATGCCAGGATCGGTATCCTGATTCATCCTGCACTGGCGCAGGGCGTCCGGCAATGGGCCCTCAACTGGGTCAAAACGTCGTAAAGCTACCCTGCCATCCTGCTGTCCGACAATGCTGTTGGAAAGCTAGAAACAGGAGCCCGTACACTCGAAGAACAAAGTGTAGATCGGGCCCTTTCTCCTTTGCTGAGAGAAGACACCATGAAATATGTATATATACATGTACCTATATGTACTAGACTTGACTACTGTACCACGATTGTCATACTCTAAAATATCGCCATCTTGCGTCATCACTCGCCCCTTTTCAGCCTCACTTTTAGTTGGATGGCCTAGTACATAGGTAACTACTAACTGGCGGTACCCGAATACGATGCCGTTCGTATGTACAGTAAGATAATAACTACCAGGGAGATACGCAATCTGCTACTATTAATACCCCCCTGTCAGCTCAGCCGTGTTTATACGAAAGGTTAAGGGGGTCTTAGGCGATGCCAGGCGGACCGCTCAGTGTATCTTCATAGTGCTACAGTAAAAATAATAATAATAATAATAGTACTCCTGCAGCTCCTTCGATACTGACCGCCGTCATTCCTAATTCTTTCCTACAATACTTAGGCAGATGGAGTGGAAAGCCTGAACACTGGAGGCTACCTGAAAATATCTTGCATGTTTCTTCTCAGTCAATATATACGGGTTTCAATCAGCGTCTGTCTCTGCCCTCGCACCACCGCTCTGGGGAAAGGAGACATGAAGTGTCGTCCCTACAATTTCAGGCATAATGTCCTGGCCGGCAATAGCAATGCTCAGTACTGTTGGACCTCTACCTCCGCCGCATATTGTTCCATTCCCTTCCCTTCAGTGCATAACCACGGCGACATGGTCATCCATATACTGGTCGATATTGCCCAAGAAGACACTTGCCAGGATACTGATACAACCAAAGGCAATGCTGGTCAGGTACACGTACTTGTAACTTTCGGCATAGGCGACCTGACCGGCAACGACGACCATTTCATAAGCCGTTTCATTGCCCGCGATGCCGGGAATGGTTTTCAAGAGTGGCAACAGACTGGCTCCCGTGTACCCGATGGCTTCGGCGATGTAGCTGGTATTGGTGATTCCCAGCTCGGCAACCATGGTGCCGCCGATATATTTGGTGGCATTGGGCACGAACTTGTTGATGAAGACGTTGTAATAGACGGTATAGCCGATACACCCTCCAATCACCCTGATGGACAACGTCAAGGCCGCGACAGTGGCAATGATGTCGTCGGGACAGATGATGGTGGTGATGATGGATGCAGGGACAACAATGCCGCCGATCCCCAGACCGCCAAGAACAAGCAAACCCCAAAGAGTGTTGAGGTTATCTCGACGAGCAACGGCGAGTGCCCCACAGCCTGCGGTCATGAGAACCGACGAAATAATCATCAGCTCTCGGTTGTGGCCGCGGAAAACTGATAGGAGCCACAGGACAATGCATGCTCCAGCGAGGATACTGAAACCGATAGGGATGCCTCGAATCCCCACGCCGACCGGGTCGTGTCCATAAACATTGAAAGCCTGTGTGGGCCAGAACATGATGACCGAAAAAAAGTTGGCACCGGAGATGGCGGTGATGATCAAGGTCAAGGTGAGAATCCGAGCTTCCTTCTTCATTCGCGACGGGAACATGGGGAATTTGGCGTACTTGATCTCCCAAAAAGGGAAGGCAACAAAGAGCATAAATGCCCCGATCAGCAGCGGTGCGAGCACATGAGCGGAGCTCCAGGGATATTGATATCCACCCCATTGAAGGCCCGCAAGGAACAGAATCATGCCGCAGATGGACAGTCCACCACCGACGAAGTCAATCTCTGCAATGATTTCCTTTCTGGAAAGACCTCGAGAGTTCGGTCGTGGAGGGGGGAAATAGAAGAAGAGGGTCCCGAGAAAGCCGACACAAGCCCACAGACCGCAGAAGAGAGTGCAGTACCGCCAACCAGCGTGGGCGGCAATCAACTGACCCCATAGGACAGATGGACAAAAAGGAACGATGGTGAAGACCAGTACGGCCACATATTGTCCTCGTTTGCGAGTTGGTGCAAGCTCGGCGGTGACAGCCAGGGATGTCAATTCGCAAATACCTGCTCCCACACCAGAGAACGTCATGCCGACTAGGCTAGGTCAGCAGCCATCGAGACGGTAACAAAGCCTGGGGCGATACTCACCGATGAAGGTCTCCATGGTTTTGGCAGTACCGCAGATGATCATGGCGATGACAAGCAATGCCGACCCTCCCAGGGCAACATATCGTCTCCCAATAAGATCGGATATGGAGCCGACAAAGGGACACATGGCTGCCAAAGCCAGCAGGTAGGCCAGGACAAACCAGATCCAGCGGTCAACGCCACCGATGTCGGAATAGATGTACGGTGGAATCCCACCGAGAATGTACACTGGAATCTGAGAGCCCGTCCAAAGAAACGCCATGGCGACGAGACTGAGGGCTCTTCCAGCAGTCATCTATGGCCCGAAATTGTCAGTCTTTGTGCAGCAATGCTCACGTTGTGTAAGGAAAGCTCACAGGAGGCTCGTGGTCATGATCTTCATCATCGCCATACGTTCGCAGACCATCTTTCTCATAGTAGCCAGGATGACCTGGCACCCTCTCATTCGTATGAACCTGCTCGATATGGGCAGTGATCTCCTTGTCGATGACCGGGGAGGGTGGCGTCTCGCTGGAACTATCATCGTGAACGGCCATGGTGGGCAAGTCGTTCAACGGGACGGTAAGAGAATGAAAGTGTTCAAGAAATGGCTGAAATGTCTACAGGCCGGCGGGATTCAACCACCTGACACTGAGCAACAGAATGAGCACTCGAGGAAGAAGAAAAGGAAAAGAGGTTCGATCAAAGGAGGAGGGAGGCAGGTGGTTGATGTACTCGGCTCTGAAGAGACGGCCACCTAGTCTGGAAATGGTCAACGATTCTGCATAGAGTTTCTCTCCACATGTCGGAGACATGCCAGGACCCAACGGGGCATTCTCTCTACTACCCCGGAGAAGGACATTCATGACTTTTGCCTCAAGAGAGTTAGCAGGCTCTCTTTGGATAACCGAAGCGGCGAGACCGCCATGCGGGTCTAGGGTTGAAGCGAGCCGGGGTGAGTGATGGTCATGGCGTCTGGGGACTAATGGGCATGGTTACCGGTGAGGAGGGTGAGGAACACACGCTTGTGCAAGACTAGAACAGGTCTGGGGAGCGTGGAGGGTGTTGAGGCGCGGCTGTTGGAAGATGGACAGCGAGAGAGGCAAACGGCTGATCGTTGAGAGGTCGAAGGGTCAATATCTCGGAGCCGGAGCAGGCGATGGAGAGAGACAAATCGATTGCCGGCGCAGAGTAAATTCGATGGCACGCTGGCACTGCACTGGCACCGTTTGCAAGCGAGTACAACATACCCGAACCTCACGTTTCGCGTCAATCGTCCTTTCATTCCTTACGTACTGAGGTCCTTGATCAACGTACTGTACATAGTCGGCACAATACTTGGGATCAAGTGTATTCCTATCCCCTCAGAGTCTCGCGGATGCTCTTGGATCCCTTCTCTCTCCAAGCCTCACCGAAGCCCATCGGCACGAACATCTGTGCCCATCAACAACCGGTCTACTAGTAGCGCACAGGCGGCAAGTTTGACCTGGTACTGGTACGCACAAAGCCCCATGGGGAACACAAGACGGAGGCCAGCCAAGCATCGTCAAGCATCCAAGCTAAAAGCGACTTGACTCCACAACGAGCAGCACGGAGGCGAGGTTAGAGGTTAGTGGAAGCACGGTCGAGACTGATGAAGGGGCATTGGGCATGGAACTGCCATCTCAAGATAAAGACCGACCACCCGTTGACCCGCATATTGAATGTGTGCGATACTAGTTCTTCCAATACGAGGATGACCCTTCTTCAAGACTGCCGGGAGACGTGAACATCAAAGGTGTTGGGGGTGGATTCGATCACCCGCCATGGTCGCTCCACTTCTCCGCAGTCCACCAGCAAAAACCTGGCATCATGATCCCCGATTTCGAGAGACTGAACATGCTGCCAGTGGTGGTTGTGGTGGTGGTGGCTTGATTCTAACCTTCTTCCCCTCTCGTGTCTCGGGAGAGCTGCGAGATCTGACCCTGGTCACTCTTTGTCTATAGCCGAAAGCTATCCAGGTACCGAGGCATATCTCCCTTTCCTTTGACCGCCCTCGAGTCCAGCCTTCAGTCCCTCTCTTCTTTTACAGCCGCCCCCTTGCGTCTCGATTCCATATGGGCCATCGAGTCGAGTCGAGGTCGAGTCGAATCGAGCGGCTTGACTACAGAACAAAATCCTAAGAAGAGAAGGAAAGTTAAACAACCTGAGAACACGAGCCTGAGGCGCACGGCTAGCCCGTTGTACAGCAAGGGAGTCCTTCATCTGTTCGCGTTCGCCTTATCTGTCATTGGAGCGACATCAGGTGTTGCCGGATGAGCGTTTTCCTGAACCAGTAGTCCGTGGTTTTTACGTTGCCTGCAAAGACAAGACTCTCTGAACCGCCCTTCGCCAGCTCACCGAAATTTGTGCAGAGGGTTTCAATGGATTGTCTATCTGGTTCTCAGTTGATGCTGCCATGCGCGTTGTTGTTCGACCACAATCGAGGCCACACCGTGCGTAGGGTAACTTCAATGGCCATGCTCAGGCCATAGTTCGCCATCGGTACCGACTACATCGTGCAGACGCGGCCCAGCTAGAGCCGATCACAGAGCCACCACACCACCAACGCACAATCTCCTTGTTCTCGGCACTTTTTGTGCTGGTTCAACGGACATGGATCCATTATGGCACTTCCTCCGAGCCAACTGATCCTAGGCACCTGTGCGACCTGCTGCCAGTGCTGGGCAGATCTTGTTCCCCCACTTCATCAGGTTGTTGGGCTTTTCCCAGATCCGCCATGCCGCCCAAAGAATGTTGATTGCGGGGTTTCTTCCCACGTGTCGGTCTTTTTCTGTGTCTCCTTGATTAACCACCTTCGCGTAAACTCGCAGCAGGTGTTGTTGCATTCCGCGATGATTAAAGGTGCACGAGCAATAAAGCATTCGAATAGGTTGATCCCAATCGTCGCCTTATCTACGCAGACTCGCGTTAGTGTCAATTCAAGGGGTTGGGCCGAGGGGGTGACGCATTTCTGTGCGAACTGACCGAAATATTGTGAATTTGAATTCATACATTGTTTTCAAAGCCAGCAGTCCCCCAAGCCTGCTGGCTTGCACGGAGGCCGGAGCCACGTCAAAGGGGTAAGCCGAGCAAAACAGTCTCGAACGAGGATCGCTCATTTTCGTCTTCTCAGGTCGTTGTTGTAAAGCTTCCCTTCCTGTGTTCCGTGGATACCACAAACGGTGTTTCGAAAACCTGTGAGAACGGCCCAACACCATTCGATGCCAGGACGTCGTTTATCGCTTATTCCCCGCCTGCGCAACCTCCTCCACGAGCTTTTCAACAGCTCGGTCCGTCTCTTCGAGAAGTCGACGTTCCTCTTCGAATTGGGCCTCAATCTTTGCCAGTCGCTCGTCGCTGACATCTGTGACCATCCGAACCTGAGCCGTCGCAAGTGCATGAATGAGCTCGGCAGGCCTGGAGCCTGCAAGCTCGATTGTTGTCCGATCCACAACAATTCCGTCTGTGCTCTCTGGCCTAATACGGGGCGGATTCTCCAGATGGACAAGCATTGCGTTTATCTCTAGGTGGTAGCAATCGGGCATGAGTTCGACCTCCAACTGTGCTGGCGGGACAAGAACGGCATAGATGTCACCCGGCCGCATGGGTCGTTTGAAGTCAACGTTGAGGAGCTGCTCACGCTGTGTACCATAGTGCTTGTACAGCGTTTCGATTTGTCGATTAATGCCTTCTTGCAGAAGCGTTGTGATAACGCCGCCGTGAACCTGCAATGCGACCGGCATGATTAGCCCTCTTAAAATTGACAAGAAATGCAGCATCCCTGCAGCATCCATTCCCCGAAGGGGGTCCAAGGCTGGAGTTGTTCTATCTTACCACGTCTGGCCAGCCTTCAATACCAAAGCCAAGGAAAAACACCAGCATGCTGAAATGCAGCGTAGGATGCCTGAACACCCTCATCGTGATCCCCCGCATCCCCGTCAGTGTCTCGGCTACCAGATGGTGTCCGCTGCCAGGGCCGTGGGCCTTGCCGGCATAGTAGTCCTCTTCGACCCAACCCTCTTCGCGCAGCGATATGACCAGCGGATGGCTCTCCAATGTGTCCCAGATTTCCTCATTCAACTCTTCCTCCTCGGGAGAACCAGGCTCAAATGGCGGCTGAAGGTACTCCCAGGTAATCAGCGCCGTGCCTGCTGCAGCACCAAGGACCCCAAACAGCACCGCCCATAGCACCGACCGCGTCGCGCGCCTTAACAGCGAAGGTCCTGAGGGTGGTGTTGGAAATGCTGCAGCAGGAGGTGGAGGTGGAATAGGGACGCCGGCAGCAGTATATTGAGGCGGCACTGGGTACGCTCCTGAATGCGGTCCCTGGCCTATGTAGGGAGTGGTGTCTGGGGCAGGCATCTGACCTGGCGTCTGGAAGTATTCCTTGTGAGGAGGGCCATGGTAATTGTGCTGCTCCTGTCGTGGCGGTTGTTGTCGTCCAAGTCGTGCTTGATTGTAGATCGAGAAGAGAGATTGTCGCGCCCTCTTTCCACCAATACTGCGAAGATGAATTGCACGCCGGGCCTGCTGTCGCCACAGCCCAGGCTGGAGCGCCTGCATCGAGAGGCTGTAGCTTCGCGCGGTGCAAGTTGTGGAGGTGGTAGAAGGAAATAATAACGCGGACCAGAAAAAGTGTCTGAGGTACACGTTGTACAGTACTAGTAGGAGACGTGCAGAGGCCGACCGTTTCCTGGCGCGCTACGCTGGCTTTGCGGTCGAAGTACTTAGCATCAGCCTTGGCGGCGAATATGGCACCGCAGCCATATAAAGGACCGTTCTAGTTGCGACTTGATAAAGTACGGCATTAACGGAGGCTTCTACGTGGACATGACAGTGAAAGCTTAACAGACGGAAAGACACTTGCAATACACAATAGAGGAGGGGGGCCGCCTATCGATTTGCGCATTTGACAGCAGAGGCTAGGCATTCAACCATGAGCTATGCTACGGGAAGAACAAACCAGACGCAGGAAAAGATACGTGCAGCTGGCTTACCAATGCATGGGGACACAAGGAAAAGAGCACTGTCAGATATGGGTTTGATATTTTGTTGATGCAACATCCAGAACGCCCCCTTTCTGACCATCATAGCAGGTCCCGTCTTCAAGTGTGTGCCACCCCGGCCACGCTCTGGGGAATCTAACCCTGACTCGAAAGTACCAGTTGACAATGCATTTGCGGAAGTAGTGACCATAGGCAATCTCTGCCATCCACCATCATTGACTTTTTTCGGAGGGCCTGCTTTCCATCCATGCCCGTCTCCAAGCCACAGAAGCTGTACATCATCGATCGTCCGCCATATCACTCGATAGGAATGGGTTATGATGTCGGGTTGGGGTTCATCTGCGTCAAAAGCGTCAGTACTAGGCCGATTCAAAAATCATTCAGTGTTTTCCGTGAGCTGTACCTTTCTCTTGCCACCGGTCATCGTCACGTTGACGAAACGTCTGGTGTATTGAAGTCTCTTCTTCGCGCGGCCCTTGGGCGTCTTCTTCTTCTCTTGTTTCTCAACCTGTAGGGGACTGTGTCAGAATCGCACTTGAACGATGAACGATTGTCCGTGGGCGGATTGTTCGATCGATGAACGGCTGCCGATGCCAGTCAGAGGCTGCGCTTACCTTAGGGGTCTGAGACTTGACTTTGCCGGCACGGGCGAGGGATCCGTGAACTTTACCCATGATTGCGAGTCGACTTCGTTCTTGATGAAGCTGTCGATTTCGTGATGCTGAACGGGTTGATGTTCGTGATTACGCAGGCGTGGTGTGTCGCTGATCCAACATTCCAAGTCGAGTTTGAATAATGCGGTGGCCGTGTGGGTGACGCCAAGACGCTGGGCGGAGGTGAGCTGACACGTGATTTCTTACTACTGTGTGGCGTGCGCTTAGTCAGTCAGTGGACTGGACCGAGATTCACCCCGAACTTGGGCGCCAGTAGTGACCTACCTGAGTACTTTTAAGCGTGAACTATTCTAACGGTAATCAAACGTTTATAGATAATTTTGCTGTAGGATGAATCGAAGATTGAGCTTTGAAGGTACTTGAAGCGAGGTGTCGTACATGTAATCATCGCTCAGACGAAGAATCTAATCTATTCATGCGGCACTCCCAATGCTAGGCGTTTCTCGCACTGTTTGTCCAAAGCAGGATCAGATGGTGCAAGTTATCTCGGGGTGAAGGGCATTCAATCCTCGACTTCATCCTTGCTTGGCAGGTCAATGGCCCGATACAGCAGTATGAGGGCTGAGGCGCTTTCACCGCCACCTGCAAGCGACATGATTCTCTCCGAATCAACCTCGCTGACTTTGTCATCGTTGAACCACCACCATTTGCCGTCTTCCTCTCTCCGCTTGCCACCGGGTGCCTTGGGGTCGTCCACAACTTTACCCTGTTTCTTGACAAAACTGGTGTAGTGCCCGCTGTCGGCGCTTGCGCCCTGGTGAGCAATCACTCCTCGGAGCTCGTACAATCCAGACTTGTTGGCGCCTTCATCCGCCTGAAGCTCGGGGTCAATCAAGGAATAAAGTTCTTTCTTGGCCTGCTTGATTGCCACTATGCGTTCAGCTTCATATTCAGCATCAGTCTTGTACACGTCCATTTCACCACCCTCAGGCTCCTTATCCTTTGTCTCTTTCTTCTCTTTCTCCCGCTGTAGTTTTTGAATAGGGGCGGCCTCTTTTTCGGTGGCGGCATCGGTTTTCCGGTCTTCTTCCTGTTTATGCGCCAGTTTCTGTCGTTTTCTTGCCCGCTCAACGTCCTGCTCATCCTTACGAATGTTGCGCACCTTGTCACGGACAGGTACCAATCTCTTCCTCAAGTCATCAGTACAGAACTCGACAATATCAAGTTCTTCCGGGAAAGTGACTTTTCGCAAGACTTTGGCTTTCTTCTGAACGTCCTTCTTCCAGAAAAAACGCACAAAATGCACGGTTAGATATTTGGGAAGTCGAGAAATGCGAGAAGTCTTGGTATAAAACGCATCATGACCAAGAGTTGGAGAGTTTTTCTCAATCTTCTCCGTCAATCCTGCCATAAGTCCGTCACGGAGATGGTTGACTGAAGAGTCGATATGACAGTCGAGCTTCAGGAAAGTCTCGTCAGATTCAACAACAGGTTCGTTATCAGCCGCCTCAGGTGGGGGAGCCAATGATGTATGAAATGTCCCGGCCATGTAACGATCGATGAAGGCTGTTTGCTTTTCCTCGTCTGAGATTTTCTCGGTAACTTTGAGTTTCTGTCGTAGTTGCTGTACGATTTGTGACCAGGCTTCTTCGGCATCCTGCTGTGCATATCCATGGCCACTCTTAGCTTTCTGAGCAAACTGGGGATAAGCAGTGCGTAAAGCGTTCAGAAACATCAGTGGCGGAAAGCCTTCCTGTGTTTCCGACATCTGCTTGTAGAGATCTCGTAGCTGTGCGACAAGATCATTAGAGGAGCCAAGTCCACCGAGGCCAAATTGCGTTAGATCTTGAAGGGTTGACGCCGACGAGGTATCTGGTTTGTAGATCTTGAGTCCATCCTGCATTTCCGGTATACTGCGAAGCACTTGCAAAGTCGAATTGAGGTAGCAAGTATTCCCAAGGTTCTGAAGCCCAGCCGGCGTGGCACCCTCTTGCGCGGCAGCTTCTGCTTCGGTCATATCCTCGACAAATTTCGGCTTCTCTTTTGGGGCCACCAGTGCGCTACCTTCGGAGGAAGCGGTACCGATCATGGTGAAGATCTGACCAGGTTTCGCGCCGAGCTTTGATAGGTCGGTGTCATCTTTGAGTTTCCCGCCCTTGATGAGGACTGATTGACGCTCGGGTTCGACGCCGGTGAGAGAATATAGCTGATATTTGAGCATTTCGCCCGTCGCTGAAGGGTCAAGGTCGACATTGTACTTCTTGCCCTGATGCTTTACAACGACTGGAAGATGTTAGCTTAGCCTTGCAGAACGGGGACGCCTAACATACTTGGAATGGTAGCCATTGTGCCCGAGACTGCTTTGTATGAGTCGTGGTGGTAAAAAAATGGGAGACTCGATCCGGAGGCAATACTTTTGAGATCGACTTATAAATGATGCCCGGGGGCGTGGAGGCTCGACAGGCACGTCAGAACGCGAGTGCAGGCCAAGTGGCCTTTCCTGTTCCAGCAGCGTCGTTGCGCCGCAATAAGTTCCGGACAGCCTCGTGTGGCGGCGCAAGGCTGCGGCTGTCGTGTCTGCTCAGGTCACCTGACCAGGCCTTGCCAAGTGGTGCACTCGTCGCCCGCGCAGCCAACACGGCGGGCGCATTATCGTTAGGCGCAGCCGGAGGTGGATGTGCCTGGCAGTGACAGCAACCCCCCTCTAGACCACATCGGACTTCACGCAGTTGACGCACCCGAAACGCCTACGACTTTTGCTGTACTGCAATACAGAAGCTGCTTACAAGCTGGAAGAATATTCAGAAGGAGAAGTCTGCTTCCATGTGGCGGTAAAAGCCAGTTGCCGGCCTGTGGATTACCGAGCGCATTGAAAATGGTATGCCTGTCCAACGCCTCGGACCTAACACAACAATCCCTTACTGACCGCCTGGTCAGTCACAATCGTTGCGTCCATACCTTCAATGCGTCCGCTCGTCTCTTACGGCAGCCCTTTCCCTGTCCAACTTCGCCTCCCAAGTCGCCGAACGACACAATGTGCCTGAGATAGAAGCAGCGAGCTCTCCAGAGGTCTTGCTCAATCCGCTTACGGTAGCACGGAATGAAAATGAGAGGGTTCTTATAGAACCCAGTATCAACAGTGTGCGAGTCAGCATACGCATAAAACAAGCCGATGAGATCGAGCATATCCTGGTGCACAAGTTCACACGGTTTCTTACTCAACGTGCGGAGTCTTTCTTTATTTTGAGGCGGAAGCCGGTCAAGGTATTTTATATGGGCATTTACTTGAGGGCTAGTCTGACTGAAGCAGGGCTATGATATCTCATTCCTCATCACTAACACCCACACTGAAGAGATGCTCAAGCACAAACTCGTGGACTTTATCATCCAATTCATGGAAGAGGTTGACAAGGAGATATCAGAGATGAAACTATTTGTATGTTGTGAGAATGAGAGAGCCTACCCAGGATCTAACTCTGCCAACAGTTGAATGCTAGAGCCCGATTCGTTGCGGAAAGCTTCTTGATCCCGGTAAGTATGGTCCCAGCTAATTTGCATCATTGGCTACTAACCCCAACCCTTGCAGTTCGATTAGGGAGAAGAACATGTTCCGTTCAAAAGGAGCATCCGCTTGACGTGAAAGCAAGGTCCGGTCGTGCACAATCTGGCGCCGCAGTGGTACGACTAATCGTCGACTAATCATCTGCGCTGCACCTGGCCCAAGGCTCTGGAATGTGATCCGCAGCAACTCCTTCTCCTTATGGCGGAACCTGCGCAAGGCTCTGGTATATGCGGGTCATCTCCGGGGATGCGGGTCCTGCTAGCTTGGGGCCACAAACGACAACAGAGAACAATAGAGGATGTTGAAGCAGCTGAACACCATTGCAGTGCATTGCTGATGTATTGACATTGCACAAAAAGAACAATACCATTATTGCCTCCGCTTTCTTGTTCCAAGTTGTGTGTTTATCCCTTCGATTTCATCTCTTCTGCCTGTTTTGGTTCATGCTTTGCTCTGTTGTCGGGACCGGATCCTTTGGATGCCACAATACTGCTTGGACTCTAGGACTTCGGGAAGATTTTCAAATACATGACCAGAGAATGTGCGTACCCCTTCCCTTTCAAAGCCCAAACTGAATGGTAGGCGTTGACTGCTATTGGAGTGAATGAGCTTGCTGCTGAAGCCTATTCATGTTCGAAGCGGTCGAACATGCTGTATTGAAACAGGTTAACGTGATTTAGACTTTGAGTGCTAGAGCACAGAGTGTAGCACATGCTGCAGAGCCTCTAGTCACTGGGGCCGGAAGAACAAGTGAGGCCGACAATTGCCTTGAATATGGTACATTCACTGGCACCCTTCGACTCTTCACTGGATTTGGCGGTGGTTGCGAAGCAACCGGCCTATGACCCCGTCTTACACCCTTCACTATCCTTCACTTCTATTTGATCACCTATCACTGGCACCTTGTCACGGCCAGTGAAGTTAGCCAAGCCTCTCTTCTTTTTCATCTTAGCCGTCCCCTCTCTTCACGACCTCTCCTTCACGGCTTCTTCTCCCTTCACGTCTCTTCTCCTTCACGACTTCTCTCTTCACGGAAATCCCGTGACTTCTCCTCTTCCTGCCACCTCTTATCCATCATCTCACCCTTGTTGATCATGATGCTGGGTCAAGGTCCCTTCCCTCCTGCTGGTCCCCAGCGAGGCGGTCGAGGCGGCCGACCTCTTCATCGAGGGCCAGGAGGGCCAGGCGCAGGCTTCTACCCTGTTCACCAAACCGATCTGTCGTTCCCTCCCTCCTTCGGTCCTAACAACCCACAGCAACCCCCTCCGACCTGGTCTGGCCCAGGAATGCCGCAGTTCGGACCTGCGATGGACATGATGGCAGGCAATATCATGGCACTCCCAAGCCCAGTCTGGGTCCCGCAAGAACCAGGAAACATGCTCATGCCACCTGCGCCTATCTTCAACCAGAATGAAGTCTTCGGTCCTGTCAATCCCATGGCGCCTGGGCTTGTTGTTCCATTCGATCCGAGTTCCGATCCACCATTTATTGACCGAACTGTGCTTCATCAGCCTAGAGCTTACGGTGTGATCAGAATCAAGAATGTAAGTTGACGCCTCCTGCCGATCTGTTCCGATCTATATATGTACCGATCTATCTCCGGCCTTTTCTGGCTCTAGACGAAGATTCAAAACCCCAAAGCATGTTGCGCGGCCAGTCGATCTTCGAAATAAATCTTAGATCGGTCACAGGAGCACGTGCCCAGGTTCCCTAGTTACTACTGCAGCGCCATACATGTCTGGCTTGAACATCGGTTCCATTTTGCTATCGGTCAGATGCAGTATATTGAACTAACAATTTCGTCCTGCTAGATCCCTTTCGCTCTCACTGTGTCCGAGGTCCATCAGTTCATCTGCAAGTACGTCCATGCCGACGACCTCATCAAACCACATCAAGATGGCTACCCCATTCACATTGTCATGGAACGCTCCACCGGCAAGACGATGGACTGCTATGTCGAGATTGTTTCACCAGAGGTTGCTGCTGAGGCTTGGGAGCGTGGTTTCAGCTACGGACCTTGCCGCTACCCAAAGCTGGGACAGAGACACGTCGTTGTGGAACTGAGCAATCAAGCAGAGTTGATGAGAGATTTGTTTCCACGAGCTCGCAGCGTTGTTTGGGACCAGGGAAAACAAGGTGTTCCGACAACCGCCCAGGTCATTGATCCTTACTCGTCAGGCTTTGCTGGTTTCTTCACTGCAGAAGAGATGGGAGGTGTGGTGCGCCATGCTGAGAACCCACAGCGTGTAAGTTGACAGCATTCTGGACATGGGACTATCCTAACAGGTCAACTCTGCAGTCACCCTTCGCTTCACGCAACTTGCAGCGTACTTACGAGAGCACCATCAGTACTCTTTACAAGGTATCTATGACTTCCAGACCCCATCACCACAAGAAGGTGCTAATAACTCTAGTTTCCATGGTCCACGACCTCCATGTACACCATGAATCAGCGTGACATTCTGTTCAAGACGTACGCACGTCAGCTGGAGATCCTCGCTTACAAGGTTGAGCGTGAAACTCACCTTGGGGCTGACCGTGAGGTTGGTCTCGACGTCAAGCTTTTGATGGACTTCCTTTTCGCTGGCATGAACTGTCCTGGTTTCTCTGAGCGTCAGAAAGCTGCTATCGCGGACTGTTCTCGACAAGTCGGACCCGGATTCGGACCGAGTGTACATGCTCGCAATTGGCCCTTTCAAGCTTTGGGTCCTCACCCCATCACCTTGCCTGACCAAGAGGTCGCCATGTGGTTCGAGGTCTTGAACCTCGGAATGGTTGAAATGGAGCGTGACAATCCTCAGACCATTGGCATTCCCCCAAACCTTAAGGTTGTGCGCGACAACAAGGGCTACATACTGTTTACGTACACCGAAGCAGGTGGACAGCTCCCGCGTGCCCAATACGCTGCCTTGGAAAAGCGGTTCATGGAAAAGATGATGCATAAGGGCTGGATTAGCTATATGCATCAATCTGGCATTGCCCTCCCACCAGGCTTTGAGGAAAATTTTCAAGTCTCTACTGACGATGCCGCCGACAATGAAAATGGCATTGCAGGAGAGGACCAGGTAATCACCAAGCTGGGACAGTCTGGCGAAGCGACCAATAAAGCGATTGAATCCTTTGCCGAGCTGCTCAAGGTTACCCATGGCGAAGAATACGTCAAGGCAATGGGCGACAATGCCAGCGACAATACCGCCAAACTTTTCACCCCTGAGCAGAAGGACTCTGCCAGCCTTGGAACAGAGTTCGGACCGAAGCTGCTACATGGTGAAACTAAAGGCTCGCCCGGAAAGCCACATGATGGACACCATTCCCATCGTCAGAGTCTCTCATACGTCTCCAAGACTCCGGGAAAAAAGTACGTCGGCCTCAGTCCCCCGCTTGATCTAGAACGTCTGCCACACTCTGAACCCAAACAAGTTTATCGAAAGACACAGCGTCACCTCAGCGATTCGGCCTTGGACAGTGCATTTTCTGGCTTGAATATCGGCGGCGAGCACTTTGGCCTCAGTCCTCCGCGCGTCACCACCACTCGCAAGGGTAGTCCAGTTCTTCAAGGATCATCCAACGCATCGACAGTCACTTCTGGCGTCTTTGAGGTGCCTCCTCGTGAGCGTCGAGCTGTTTCCATCCGTGCTCCAGATGGCACAGCCGTCCCACTTCCCAATCAAGCTGAAGCTGGTACTTCTGTTGGTTTTGCCCCTAACGTTGCGAATGGTTCGGGCGGTTTGAACACTCCGCAGAGCTCCAAGTCTGGAACTCCTGTGAGTGAACCCTCTCCGACTAGCAAGCTTGCAACTCCTCATGGTTCGGGTGCCAATGGCCGTCTCGCCAATACAGCCAGCAACAATACTGGCAGCGGCGCCAGCGCAATTGTCCAAACCAATGGTGGCAATCGCAAGCTCAATCCCTCCCCTGTGATCAAGGCCAAGGCGGGAGGACCTAGCCTAGGACATGCTCGAAACTACGGCATTGGTGCAACTCCTACCTTTGGTGCCTCGTCTGCCTCTACTACCCCAGCTTCAGGTCGTCGCATGGTGGCCGAGTCAGGTTCTCCTCTTGAGCGTGGTACCGGCAAGTCGAGCGGCGCCACACCAGGTACTAGCGGCTCGAACACCGACAGTTTTCGTCCTACCGCCCGCGGTCGAGCTCGTTCTGCTTTCGCCGGCTTCGGTGAACCCATCAACGAAGAAGAATGGGAGGAAGTCGAAGGCCAAGTCCGCCGCGGCCGCGCGCGAGGATGAGATTGCCTGATTCCAACCCGCAGTGCCCCCATTACTCTGGCAATTGCACACCGATTTCCTCGTGACCCGCAGAGTCAGGGGTGGTACTGCCACGGTTGGACATCTCGGTGTGCATGGCACACTATAAAAGTTCGAGTTTCAGTTTCATACGGGTCTTGCATGCGAGCGTTTGTTTCAATCTCGATGGCGACCACACAGCAATGACCCGGCGGAGTCAGCGTGAGGCTGAGCTACTGGTCCCCAGCTTTGGGTTGATAGGTTTACTTCTGCCCCACGCTCACGTTTGCCGGTGCTCGTGCAACGTGGGCTCTGCCAATGATTGCTTTATTTTTTGTTTCTGAGCGGGGGGAGACAATGCTTTTTTCGAGCTGCAGAAGGGAACGAGACATACGACCAGGTCCACGCGCGACAATTATGACGAGTGCTACCTACTCATGCGGCGTTTGACGATGGCTCTAGCGACGGCTGGCCCCATCCTGGGCGGCTTGGACAAGGATTCATGGGAGAGACACAGATGACTATGCGTGCTGGATGCTGGATGAAATCCCTACGACCAAAAGTGCTTTTAGTCTTTTCTTAATGATTGCTTGATGCGATTAGGCGAAATGAAATGCAAATGCAAATGCAAATGCAAAAACGAGTGCTCGCTCCCATGATAAGTGCAGTACAGCGTATCAAAAACGGTGCTTCCGTTTGTGGTGTCAGAAAGGCCTTACCTTGCCCCCAGCCAAACCGTCGATCACGGTTCATGAGAGGCGGGTCAGTCAGTTTAATTCATATTTTCGTCTCTCTAAGGACGAGGACATGATGGCACGAATGATGCAGCCCCGAAGAATGTTAGATGTCGGAGCGCAGAAACATACCTACTAGTAGTCAAGCGGGTAAAGCAGACAACGACAGCCTTGCTTATTCAGGACTGATGCCTGGCACCCCGACGAGGCTGGCATTCCGATGATGTAATCTTGGACACGTCGAATCCTAAGACGCGTAAAGTGGTTTCGCGATCCTTTATTTGGCATAATTAGTCAATCCGAACGACTGCTGCGTCTCCCCATCCTTCATAGCTGCCACTGCAGATCGACAACTCGAACTACCTCACAGTCTAGTGCGTTTGGATAATACATCTATACCTAACGGGGTCGAGCGGAACAGCGCTGGAGAAAGGTGTCATTGACAATCCAACTTTTGTTTGGACCAAGCTCTCCCTATCGCCTGGAGCAGAGGGTCTGAAGGAGTTGTTCGTTTCCATCTTGACTATTGCCGCAATATCTCCCTACCCATCATTGAAGTTGAGGTCACCAAACCAAGACTCATATCACCCCATTTCAAGGGCGATTAAACAAGCCAATCCCTTCGCATCAGCTCAGCAGTCTCTTTCTCCGGTTAAGCAGAAACACCACAAAATATCATCATGTCAGGAAGACCCCGAGGCCGGCCGCGCAAATCAGGACCACCGGCCACCAATTCCTCTTTTTCAAAGGTTCCCTCGGTGGAAATCAACTCCAAGCCAAACTCGACCAAAAAACGCCCATTGTCCGAGTCCGAGACTCCTCTGGGAACGACATCCCCAGCAACAGCCACAGCCACAGCCACAGCGACTCCGGGCAGCCGCAGCTCAAAGAGACTCAAGGAATTGTCTGCTTCTACTACTGCTCAGAAGCCGTCATCAAAAACGACACCAACTAGAAGCAAATACTTCCAACATGACGACGACGAAGAAGATGACGATGAGCCAGAAACTGAAACTGCCGACGAGGTCGAGAACTCCGGGTACGAAGACGAAGATGCGTCCGTGACTGAAGACGACCCGTCCTCCGACAGTGAGAGTGACAGTGACGGTTTCGACGACGACAGTGAGGTCGAGGGCAGCGGGGCGAAGAAACGGAAACGCCTCCCCAAGAAACAGAACAAATCTAAGACTACCACTACTACTATCAACGACAACAAAGAACTCTGGAGACCCGGGGTCAAAACGGGCCTGGGTCCAGGGAAAGCCGTCTTCATTGAAAAGCCCAAGCCCAGAGGAGACGGGGGCATCAAATACGTCCCGCACAAGATCCACCCCAATACCATGGCTTTCTTGAAAGATCTCAGGAATCATAATGATAGGGAATGGTTGAAGAGTAAGTTTGAAAACAGCAAGCCTCCGGCCACTCCTAAAAAGACTTGCAACATTGGTGTTATGTCTGCAGACATCTGTCTCTGACCTCCTCCCCTCTCTGTGGTTGGAGATTCACCATTCTTGCGATCGCTCAGGGAGGGAGAAAGCATTGAGCGAGAATAAAAAGGAGACATTGATTTTCTGCAAACGCATTTTGACTTTTCTCTCTCATCCTAGTGCACGATGCCGATTACAGGCAATCTTGGAAAGACTGGGAGAGCTTTGTGGAATCACTGACGGAAAAGATCTCTGAGATTGACGAGACAATTCCTGAACTTCCGCCAAAAGACCTGGTGAGGCAGAAGCCCCGTCTGGTCAATGCGATGTATGAGTCTATCAAGTCCGACACTAACATGCTACTAGGTCTTCAGAATCTATCGAGATATCAGGTTCTCGTCTGATCCTACGCCCTACAAGGTTTGTCCATGTACTGGCCTTTCCTTTCTGTTCCGGGGGG